CTGTCTCTGAGGTAGGCAGGGCATGTGGGTGACAGGTGACAGCCAGATACAAGCAAAGCCGTCCAGAAAATGGCGCAGACTGAGCAGTACAGACAGGGACAGACAGGGAGGTGTCAACAAGGGGGAGAGACCGGCAGACGGACAGACAGACAAGCAGACACAGGCAGACAGGCAGGGAGACACCTGAGAGCCCTCCCTGGGAGATGGGAAAGGGGATTTCCATCCCTCCCTCCCTCCCTCCCTCCCTCCCTCCCTCCCCCCCCTCTCTCTTTCGTCCAAACCTGGGACTTGAACTTGCTGATCCTGGCTCTGGCTCAGTGGCTGGTGCTCTACCGCCTGAGCCGTGCCTCCACCCAGGAAGGCGCTTTCACGCGGAGGGTCCCGCAGCCACCCTCAGCCTAGGCGGCCCCTGCAGCCCCTCGCCTGCCCTCAGCCGCAGCGGCCACGCGGGCCTCCTCCCCCCTCCCCCCTGCTACCACAGACAGACAGACTTCCAAGGCACCGTCCCTTAGGAAACAAACGCGAAGCATTTCATCACACGCCTGCGTAGCCTGCACAGGACACAGACGCCCGGCCCTGCTGAGCTCGTTAACATGCTACCAACACGGCTTCACGGCTCACGCTTGTGCTCAGCTCCTGTCCTCGCCCGGGACCCACACCTCACCCCTCCACCAGCGCGCCACAGTGCTGCCTGTTCTAGAACGATCCGCGGCAGCAGTGCCGGGGTGGAGTCTTCATTCTGGCCTCCCTCTCCTGCCCGGGGTTCTGTCCCTCCGCGTCGCTCAGCCGCGCGATTCTCTGGGGACGCGGGGATGGGGGGCGGGGAAGGAGGGGTGGAGAGAGGAGGCGGACGCAGGAAGGGGGGAGGAGGGGCACCCACACTGCCCCGTGCCCAGGGCTCTCCTCCCCCGGCCTCCGGCATCCGCCCGGCTCAAGGTCTTCCCCGTGTCCGCGTGGGGGTTTCTGGCCTGTGCTCACCCCATGGGACACTTCTCAACGTCGGAGCCCGAACACGCGTGGAGCGGGATCGCGGTGTTTGACACACGCACTCCACAGACGTGACTGACGAGGCCGTTCCATACTCTGTAACTGTTCCGTGGCGGGGCCTATGCCCTCCCCCCCTCCCCAGCCCGTCGCTCACCCACAAAGCCCACACAGGCCGGAGATGCGGGGCCCTGCCCACCCGTGCCCCCAGCCCCCCCCCGTGGGAAGAGGCCGACTTCCCTGTGACCTCCCGCCACGACCCCGGAGTGTCTCTGGTGGGCGACCCTTGGCGAGTGCGATCTTACGCTGTTGGTGGGGAACCACGCGCGGCGGTGTGACCCAGGCATGCCCGTAGGGGCCTGCCCCAGGGCCTTTGCACCTGCTCTGCCCTTCCGGCTGCCTCCTCCAAGTGACATCTTGATCCATCCCCGGTCTGCCTGAGCGGCGGTGCTGGGCAACACGTGAATCCCGGGGCTCCGTTGGTTGGCTGGGGCCGCACTGCTACCCTTCCCCTTCAGTTCTGTGTCCCCCCCTCGCCCCAATAACTTAATGCATCTGCTCCCCGGGTGTGCGAAGCACAGGCGGCGAGAATCGGCAGAACTTAAACGGTGATGAGACCCAGAGCGAAGGCTCTCGTTCATAGGGGGGAGCCCCGGGGGGGGGCAGCGCTGTGGAGGGCGGGCTGGGCACACACCTGCCCCAGAGAGGGGGGTGTCCAGGCCAGAGGCCTGGCCAGGCAGGGACCGGGGTTGGGGGCAGCCTGTGAGGAGCCGCCCCATGGCCATGGTGGAACCCAGCTGGCCCAGGGCTGTCCGTGGGGGGGGCGGGGCAGGGGGCCGGGACCACCGAGCCGGGACTGTGGCTGGAACCCCGCTCACCACGGCTCACGGAGAACTCCCAGAGTCCCAGACTCAAGACCACGAAACGGAGGCCTGAGGGGTGAGGGTCTCCCTCAGAGTCCCACGGAGAGCAGGGTGGGGTTGGGGTGGACCCTGCCCTGCGCCCATGGCCCTCCCATTATGGCCTCTGTGGGTCCCAAGCCCCCCCCCCCGCCCTGTGTGGGGACCCTGCGTGCGGCTCTGACTCCCAGGGCCCTCCGGGGCGCCGCTCTGTGCCTCTCCGCGCCCTGGGTGGATGTGTTTCCTGGTGAGCCTTCCTCTCCCTGCCTCAGCTCCTCTCCACCCCAGAGGAGGCCCGGGCCCCTGCATGGCTGCTCTCCTCTGCCAGGGGGACGCACGTGCAAAGGCCCTGAGGCAGGATCCTGTGCCACTGGCCTGGCACAGTACTGCGGCTCTCCCTGGCCACTAGGTTGAGAGCAGCTTGACCCCCATGGGTCCGGCCACCCTCGGGAGTGAGGTGCACCCTGAGCAGAGGGCCAGGTGGCGGGGAGCAGAACCGCCCAGGGGAGTCCCACACACAGCCTTGGGCCCCTGGGGCGGGCGGGGCAGCTGTCCTGTCTGGGGCCTTGAGCAGGGTCGCCCTTCAGCCTGCCCCATCTCCAGCCAGCTTCTGCACCATCAGAGGCCTTTGCGACCGCGGCAGCCTTGGTCTGGGTCCGGGACACACGGCAGTGGCCAGGCAGACGGGAGCCGGGCGCGGCGGGGCCGGAGCTGGGCGTGCACGTCAGGAGAGCTGGGCAATGCCGGGCACGGAGCCGGGCCGGGCACGGGCATGGCGGGTCCTCTGGCCCCAGCCTCCACACCCCCAGCCTCTGCTTCCTGGGCCTGGGCCTCCTGGGCCTCCACCGGGAGCTTTGCCTTCCCCATGGCTGGTACTGGACACTCCCCCCTCC